CCCCAAAACCCCAAAACCCCGGCAGGCAGTGAATTAGCCAATATGGTTATAATAAATTCAGTTGATAAATTAAAACGAAACAAATATAAAATGATGTTATACTAATAGAATCAACAACAGTACTAGTAGCAGAATTAATTTAATCAATTACCCCCATTGCAGCCATAGTAAATGCAATCAGCTAGTTTTTATCCCTAGTACATGCATTATAATATGAGTCAACAAAACCAAATGGCTCAATACTCACCGTAGATTTAGTAGGTCCAACAGAATCAAAAGAGAAACACTCATATAACATAGTCAGTTCCACAGAATTAGCACAATAATAGTTAACAATTTCAGGCAAACCTCCAGTCATCCTTAGATCCAAATCCTTAGCCAGCAGATAATTAGTAAATATAAACACCCTTTTAATAATTAGTTTAGAGCTAAAATTTAAGCTATAGCCTAAAAGTAGACTCAATAGTAAGAGGAATTGAAAAAACTTGAAGTTATGGAGAAAGAACTCTCTAACATTCTAGACTATGCAGAGCAGTCTAACTTTGAGACCATCTATAGAATATACTAAAATATCATTAATAACGCAGATCTGGCCAGTTAATAGATCGACAATCATGATCCTATAAAGAAGTAATGGTATAAGAAGGTCCTATAGTATTAAATTAAAGAGAAAAAATACAGAGATAAACTACAATAATTGTACTTTAAGTACCAGGACCAGAAGTATGACGATAGTATTTAAAACAAAGAGGCCTTGAAAAATTAAGCACTTTAACATATAATGCAGGAATCCTTGAATTATTCTCCGTAGAAGTAAACTCATTGGCTGGACAACAGAAATCAAGTGGTTTAAAACAACTAGGTTAATCAGCAATTGTTGAATCAGATGAATCAGTCGTTTAACTAGTAAAATTATGATCAAGGAGGTATGCCTAATACAAATTCACAACTCAGAATGAGCTAGCAGCAGACAACTACCAATCCATTTGTTACTTTTCAGTAATAGCAGCAGATGCCAAGAGCCCCATCTGTCCAAAGTTTAGCATCTTTCAAGAATTATACAGTAGGCCAAGCTTTTCCAAATTAAGATCCTAGATTTAACTAATTAAATCAAGTTCATAGCTCCATCCAAAATCCATTTCTATAAATGAATTCACTAGGGCATTCTAATATGAGTTTTGAGAGTGCTAATAATCATAACTAATAGAGAGTTGCTAATTTTCAAATTGCAAATGATAGCTTAAATTCTACAATCAAGAGATTATCCTTAGAATCAATCAACCCTTCTTAAAGTATTGGAATACCTTTTCAAAATGTTTCTCAGCAAAATGCTGTTCAGAATTATCTAATTCCTCCTGCATAACAAGTATTCACTGTACAATAGTAATAGCTAAATGTCTAATAGCAATCGTAATAAAACAAGAATAATAATCTTAATATCAACTCTAACTTTTTGAGTCCTATATCCCAGCAAACTCATAATAACAATCTTGCTGATTCCTTAAGGTTCAGTCCAAATCTCCAAGTGAGTGTTCAGCCATCACAGAGAAGTCATATTAATTCTTCAATGATAAACTATGCTAGAAATCCATTTGACGATTAGCCCATTAGGCCCGCTAATTATAACCTTAGTTTTGCAAATGCTAATATTCATTCAAGCCAAGATAGAAGTTCTCCTGCCCCTAGACCTATGGATCCAGTTGCTTAGAAAGATTTAGAAAAGATTAAAGCAGATCATTAGAAGATGGTTAAACAATATGAAGATGAAATTAAGAGTTTAAATGAACATAAGAAAGCACTGGAGTAAAAAGCAATAGTAAAGGCTACTGAAATTAAAAATTCTTCAAGAGTTCATACTCGAAATAATTCTCATAATCAGTAAAATTCTAAAAATAACATTGAAAAAGTCATAGTCAAAACAAATGATCAAAATTAAGTAATGGTTAATCCTTTTGATAAATTGCCTTCAAGTAGAAATTAAAAAGTAATATCGAATCATAATAGTAATTAGTAAAATGAGGATTAAATGATCAGGCAAGCTAGCAATACTCTCTCTGCTTAAAATTAGTAAATTACAAGAAATTAAGAACTTAGTCCATAAAGATCATCAAAGAATACCCAAAGCAATAGAAATTTAGGTCAAGATTTGAAAAAGTAAGATACCATTCAATCTTAGCCAAATGTGAACTACTATGATGACTCAGAGCATAAAAAACCAAATGATATTTAACTTATGAAGAGGCCATGGGCACATGATTTAGTAGGAAATAATTCAGATGCCTATTCCAATTAAAATGAGGAAGAACATTCATTATAAGAATTCAAATTACCTTTTAATAGATTAGCTGACAATCATTCTCTTTCCAAACCACTCTAATTTCATCCACAATAACCAACAACATTCGGTTTAAAATAAGGTGCTAATAGTACAGTCACCTCAAGAAAAAGACTCTAATTTCTTGATCAATTCAATCAACCCAAGAGTAAAAACTAATTGCTTGATGAAATTGAATAAGCTGAGATTAATAGCATAACCTCTAATAGCATGCATTTATTTAAAGTAGAGAAAGCTCCTACAATAGCTAGAAATCATCCAAATCAGTCGTTTAGAGGACTAGCTGATGAAGACGAAATAAGTGTAAATAGATTTGATGAGGTAATGATGGATAATTGCATCTTAGAGAAAATGGTGAACAAAAACATTATATAAAGATAGTTTGACACTGACAACGAATTAGTGAATACCTAAAATATTTACGAACTAGTTGAAGAGTACTACAATGCTCTATAGCCAAGCAATCATACAAATCTTAAGCTTTCTATTTTCGGATAGTTAGATATTTCCAAAAAACTCAAATAAATATCAAATATGCTAATGTAAACAAATGCTTACAGATATATATCAATGGGAAATTAAACAGGAGCTCTCTTCAAAGAATTAGACTAGGCTTTGAAAAGTCTAGGACTTCCTAGCATGAAAGACTTTGTAAAGTAGCAATAAGAATATTACCAAATTGATGTGCCAAATAGTAAAAATTAACTAAGAAGGCCAACATATTTGGAAAAACTTAGGGAGATTTAACCTGATATACTTGAAAAAAAATCAATGTCGAATAAAAGCATGAGCATGCTATTTGTCGGATAAAATGATTCAGAATATGCTATGGATCCAGACAATTTTAGACCACCTTATTAATGATCAACACTAGATATTGGAGAAGAATATGAAAGCTCTAAAAATTCAATAGGTAATAATTAAAACCTGCCCAAATTTATGATTGGGAAATTGAGTTCTCCATCTCATCAAAAGACTAAACAAAAATCTAGTTATGATTTCTAAAAAGAAAATTAGAGATAATTTCTCCAAAGAATCGAATCACCAATCATAGAGGAGGATTCAGAATAAGCTAGCTATACCCAGTATATATAGAGAAGAAGTAGGAAGTGACAAAGTGTACCTAAAATTAAGAATTTTTCAAGAATAAAGGATATTTAAGATGAATATATATTAGGGTCTCCAATTAATTACAATTAGCAGACATATGATTAATCTACATTGATAAATCTCAAGAAAAATGTTTAGGCCCTAGAGGAATCTTCTAGTAGTTATACTTTACCACCAAAAGGGGATAGGGAAAAGATCAAAATTCTATAGAGAATGACAAATGATTATCTGATTCACAAAAATAATAATCCTGAGAACAAAAAATAAGTTACGCAAGCAGTTGAAAAATATCTTTTAAAAAATAATTTGACAATTTAAAATGCTGCTTAATATAAGCAGAAATATTATAAAAGTAAGGAGGAGTATTATAAGAAATTCGATTTCAATGATAATAAATCTTAGCTTGAAAAAAAATTTCGATAAAAAGAGGATAGAATTATCTAAGAGATTGCTGATAAGTAAGAGAGCACAAAACCTTAAGTGGAAAAATTTATATAAAAACTCAAGCAGCTTGAAAATCCCTTAATAAACGAATTAATGATTTAGAAGGTTAATTAAAGAGAAAGAAAAAAGGAAAAAATAGAGAATTTATTGGAGGAAGCTGAATCTACCTTGTATGAATTAGATAAGAAGTAGCAGAAAATCAATGAGCTCTAGGAATTTTAACTTGAACTATACCCTACTAAGAAGAATTACTCAAATGTCTCAAACAAAATATTTTATCAAAAATTGCCTTCAAACCTAGTTTCTATTGTAGAGAATTATACAAGTGAATCTGTCTCAGGTAGAGTTGAGACTTCAACAGATTAATAACTTTAATAGCTGCAAGATAAATAGCTGACTGCTAAATCCAAATTTAGACCAGCTAGTGAATAGAGTAAGAGATTATTGTCAAATATTTCTAATTAAAAAGGACATTAAGATGGCCAAACTTAATCATAATTATTGGCAAAAAATGAAGTCAATCTTAAAGTTGAAATTGAATAACTTGGAAACTTTAATAAATTTAAAACAGATTAGAGAAAATATGAATCAACAACTAAGATTAACATACTAAACAATTCTATCAGTAAATTGCCTACTCATCACAATGACCTCTACCTAAACAAGTCTTACACTAAATCTTCTGAAAATAAACCTAAAAGATTGCAATCAGAATTTTTATAGAAGACACCAGATTAATACTTAAAATAGCCATCAAATACCGAATCCAAGGCTATTACAATCACAACTTAAATCCATTAATACTAACCAAACATTCAGGAGAATAAAAGCTAGATATTGAGATTAAATACTAGCAATAAATCTCCAAGTTACTAGAAGCAGACAACTAATCTCAGTTTTAAAAGTTAAGAATTCCATAGTGTTAAGGGTAAGAATTTACTTCCACCAATATTTTCAGGACCCCAAAATAAAAGACAAATGACACAATTGTGAAAATAGAATTAAATAAAATGAATAACTTACTTAATCTTAATTTCATTACTTCTAGACTATTGATTATGATGCCAGAAGGGGTTTTGGGGTTTTGGGG